AAGATTTTTACGAAGCAAAGTCTAAAACGAATATTGATGTATAGAGGTAAAAATTTGGACCACGTTCCCCACAGATATCATTAAGAGTAATCCTCTCTTTTGAACCACTTCTGGTTCTCTGCAAGAGTACAAACCTGTCTGGCTCCAATTTTTATTATGACTAAATTATCGAAAATGGTGGGATCAATGTTCGAGAAAAAATTTTAAAAGCAGCTCTTCTGAGGTTTTTGAAGGAACCTTCAAAAATCACTGGACCTGGTTACGATCCTGATCTCACTTTGTTCGATAAGGCTGAAAAGTGTTTATAAGTTCCACAGTAGTTTTTGACCAAACAACAGGACATATGTAGACTTGTAAAGGAAGACTTCCTCTATTAAATGATATAGATATTATCCAGTGTGATAACCGTTTAAAGGAATCCAACGAGTTAAGGGGAAATATGGATACCATTGTAGAGGCACATGAAATCGCGCGATGGCACATAGACTTAGCACGAAATACTAGCCGCCCATAGAAAATAAATGTTTCCAAAATACAGATTTTTATTATTAGTTGTGTTCCTATTGCAATGTTTTCAGATTTGAGGCTTGTGATATTAAATTTAAAAGTTCTAGTTCGTTTTGTTTTATTCAAATCTGCACACTAATTGGTATAATTTCTATGCTAAGCATTTCATGAAAGCAAATATGCACTGCGATTTAAGTTTAGAAGAATGAGTTTCAGCATTCAACTAGTTGTATTAGCTAATTCGTTTCATTTTACAACACAGCTTTTTAGTAATCAATTGAAACAATCACATGCGGCAAACCAAACCATCTAATGTTAGAAGCGAATCAACAAAACAGCTCTGTCCTACTCGTTTAAGACGTTTCATCTTGAGCTGAATTATATTATCACACAGAACCATTCGTATAACTGTTTAATGAAGTGTTTCCATCAAAATAAGTGAACGATCTTATAGGATAATTCAACTTATAGCGTGAAAGAATCCGACCAAAACTGCTCAACACGCATGGCAATTAGACTACACATGTGAAGTTTTTGAAATATTTTCTTTCAATCCAGTATTTTTTTTAGTCAATATGGATTTTCCATTATACGATTTCATGTGCCTCTACAATGGTGTCCACATTTTCTTTTAACTCGTTGTTTCCCTTAAACGGTTACCACAATCAAGTTTTATTGCATACTGTAAATATGCCAATAGATGGCGTCATTTTCGCTGTGTTTTGCTAGAGTTACGACGAAGGTAGTACCAGCTATCAAAATCTCTACGGTATGCAATAGAACTTGATAATACCTATATCATCTAATAGAGGAAGTCTTCCTTTACAAACTAACAGAAGTCCCGTTGTTTAGTCAAAACTTTATAATCGCCTTGTGTCCTAAGTACATCCAAAAAAATTTTAGCCCGATCGGACAAAGCAAGGTCGGAGTCGTAAGCAGGCTCGATTGGTTTTGAAGATCCCTTCAAAATCTTCCGAAGACCTGCTTTTAAAACTTTTTCCTCAAATATGTGTCTCATCATTTTCGATAATCTAGTTGTGGTGAAAATTTCAGTCAGATGAGTTATACTCTCATGGAAAATCAGAAGTGAGCACTCTGCAGGAACCATCACAGTCACCTTAGCAACGTCTCTCTATCGTCATAGATCATGACAGATATAATCGCGAGATCAAAGCCCACTGAGGGATTCGTCTAATAGTGGTCCTTTATTTTAGTTTCACACTCATTGGAATATATTTCAATTAATATCTTTCATCATCGAGATGCATTAACAATAAGTAGAAATTGATAAACTGACACATATATTGATTAATTCCTAATTTTACAATACCAGCAGTTCTATCGTGTTTTCTTTTTGTTTTGAGAAAAGACTTTGAAGAATAAAAGGTAATAGCAACTTTTGGTAGATTTTGTAGCATGTTGTTTTAAGCACAAATATACGTTTTTCAATTGAACTTCTTCTAGAATGAAGGTAAGACTGTATATTAAATATTTTTTTGTAAATACAAATCATTAAAATTTCGAAAATGAAAGTTATAAACTGACAAATTTAAAGTTATTTGAACAGTATTGCAAACTTGACAGTCTGAAAGTTGTTAGAAATATTTTTTTTTTCTCTTAAAAAAAATCAAACAAATAGACTTACAAGAATATTTTCTACTTTGATAGAATATTCATCATTGTCTTATGTTGTTTGCTGATTCAAAAGACGTATCGTCTGATAAAAATATCTCGAACATTGACAGTTATCATTAATTAGATCTTAATTCAAATTTAAAACGATTTAACATAAACTTTCCCAAGCAAATAAAAAAAAGCTAACGATGGGTGCGACGAGTGGTCGAAATTTCATATATATTTTTTTTCTCTCGTTCTGTTCAATATTCGAACTCCTCGGTACCCATCGAATATCGACCTCTTGGAAACATACTCCTATCGGACATTCATTTGCGGCCCCTCGGATACATTTCGACCACTCGAGAACCATCAAATCACCGACTACTCAAAAAGGAAAAACCCATCGGACAACTACTTTCGATTACTCGATATAATTTCGAGCACTCCGAACCTATCGAAATTTTGATTACTCTCTCTCAGCAAACCTAGCGACGAAACGGTTTTCATTATTCAATTCAATTTTGATGAGCCGAAACTTCTTGAAATTCAGTTTTTTTAGTGATTCTCCGCTTTGATTTGGTGATCTCATGTCACCAACTTTAGTTCGTTGGACACTTAAAAATAATTACTATTAGAATAGCAATCACATTCTGGATTGTTCCTTGAGTTTAAAAGGTTATTCTTTTATATATACATGGCTATGCAGCAGCCACCTGTTTGGCATGCTAGATACAATAAGAATAGCTATATGACGATGTTCACCCTACGCTTAGCTTTTTTATCTTATAAAAACTGATATCTAACATTGATATTAACCTATTTATTATTTCCAGATTATAAACAATGGATTCAGTATGTGTAGTTAAATTTGGTGGAAATGAAGTAAGTTTTGTTCCAGCAAGCTGCATACACTCAGCAAAAAACGCGAAAATGGAAGTAAATGTTGATTATTTATTTCTTGATAAAAATGATAGACATCGACGTCTTCGAGGTAAACTCCTGTTTAAAGGTAAGATTAGATAAAACCATATATTTACTTGTATATTATATCATATTCTTCTTGACGACTATTAATAGAAACAGTCGAGGAATGCGAAGAATATTGTGAGGATGATACTTCTTTAACAGTTGATAAATCAACATGGTTGCCTACTATTGTCTCCGAATCCAATACCAATAACAAAGTAATGAAATGTACAACATTTAAACAAAAAAAGCGAAAAAATGAATCAAAAGAACCTGAGTTTACTGGAAAACAAATGAAAACAAATTCGTCAATTGCGATTGTTAAGAAATCAACTCAAATTGATAAAACAACACAAAACAATCAACAAAATGCATTTGATAATCAGAAACGACAACCTAACGAAAATAATACCAATGATGAATCTGAATCATCCGTTTCAACTACGAAATCTTCAATCGTTGTAGATCTTTCTAATAACGATTCCTTTGACAATAATATGTCGTCGAAATGTTCAGCTCATTTGAATCAATCTCAACAACGAACAAAATTAACAGGAGTTGGTAGACAAGAAAATAACACTATTTCTAATGATAATATAGAATCGGATGATGAATTAATTTTACCTCGTCATATTCAACTTGAATTAAAGAGTAATAGAAAACGAATTCTTAATCTGGAAAATCAATTGAAAGAATTGAAACATACATCCATTCGTAAGTTATTTTTTGTTAATTAATTTGATTCAGTAAAGATATTTTTACTAATTTCAGCATTTCCAACAACTGAAAAAAGTGATTATTTGCGCCGTGTGTTGGCTGTTGTTGATATGCGTGATGAATTAGCACAAACAGGAACAATTAATGTGAGTTAATTTTAATACGATATTAGCATTTTTTATTGTCAATTTCTCGTTTTTCGATTTAGTATGGGCAACTGTTAGGTCTTACTAATTTTGAATTATTAGAAGCAACTGGTAATGGACGATTACCATGGAAAAAAATTGTTGTCAATTTAATACAAGCTTGTTTCAAGAATGTGGATTTGCAATATGAAAATTATACATCACTTCGAACTCGTAATAAAGATTTGATTGATAATATTTCAGGTGAAAATCATAAGCGAAAATTTTTTTTTCAATATCTGCTAGTATAGATAACTTTCATTTGATATCAATGTAATATTAGTAGAAGAGCACTTATTTTATGTATATATGAAAGTTTTTTACACATTATCTCATCTATTTTAGCTTACGTCAAAACTGTTTGTTCTACTGCTATGTTCACCAATACAGAATTTTCAAGTTGTATTTCTGGTAAATGTCATCATATGAAAAGTGATAACAAGAGAAAAGCCAATAAACTCGCTTTTCGTTAAATGTTTCAACAACAAGATGATTATCTTATGGTTGTTACTAACAATAAAATATTACATTTGTGATATAATCAGGAACAATATGTTGTCAAGTAAATAAACAACATTTTAATTAAGCAGTATTTTCTTTTCATTTTTTACATACTTTTCTTTGTTTTATACCTGTAATACATTGAAGTCTTTCTTCCTATGCTCTTACTTTAATACCATTTCCTCTACAGTTAAACCCATTATTGTACTTGATTACTGATGTTCATTTATTGTATATTTTTGATTTTTCGTTGGCTTTTGCCCATTTGTTCATTATGAGTAATATATCAAGATTCAGCTTGATCATGTTGTTGTATGGTTAAGCATTGTTGATTCAATTCATAATAGTTAATAAACATATAAATAATAACTTCATCTTATACTTGTTGAATTTGTCAAGATAATGTCGGAGTTTGACAACACATCAAAGAAAGATTCAATTTCTCACAGCAGAATTTTTCAATTCTTATGTTATTGTTTCAATTCTGTATTTTTCATTTTTTTAAAGATGATTCGAAGGACTTTTTATAGAAAACGAACTCGATTACAAAAATGGGAACAATCAAAATACGATTTCATTACTTCCAAGACATCTATCGTCAATCAATCTCAAGAAATATTTGAAAATCAAAGTGGTACGGAGCTATTTCTTTTAACACTTCTTAAACATAACTATTGATTCTAGAGTCTATATCATCTGCACCTATGAAAGTCGAAGAAATTAAGGAATACAAACCAGAACGTATTGAATCAATGGATCCATTGGCAACGACAACTACTGAGATAATAAATGGTAAAATGAAATATTATTTTCGATTTTGTACAGATCTTAGCATAGTTGGTTATGTGTTGAGGATATTTTGAGTTTGAAATATACAAGTAAGTTTTATTTGCTAATTGCCATTTATATCAAAACCACAAAATCTATAACTGTATCTAGATGGATTCAACTTTAGACGAAGCGAAATTCATCTCATTTTGCTAGATAGAGATACATTTGTTTGTTTAGCATGTACGTCAACGTTGTTACGACGATCACAACCAACTCGTAGTGATGTTGCTGCATCAGCTGTAATCTGCAAAGTTCGAAGGCAACAAAGCAACAGTGACATAAATACATATTGTAGGTTTTTGAAAGCATTAAATGGTCCTGATATACCTACTTCTTGGGAATCTATTAAAAGAAAAATGAAATTAGATGTCTCATCGAAATGGTTTTGTTATAAAATTTGTAACGCGTGTGGTATGAACAGCAGTGTCCAAGGACTGAGAAATAGGAATTCCTAATTTGCGGAGGAATTGTTAGTGTAGCTATGATAATTCCTTGGAGAAATGGGAATTGACCATTATTTCCATCACAGTTCCCTCATTCATGAAAGTCAAGATAATGCTTTTTTTGCAATAATTTTCGTATTCATACGTTCGGTGCACAACTTTCTTGATGAAAACGAGTGTAAGAGTAATAAGTACCGTGGATATTGTATTTTTTTAATTTTAGCATTCAAGAAAATGTCAGGGAACTGAGTAGGAATTCCTATTTCTCAGTCCTTGGACACCCCTCGATCGAAGCCGAGCAGCATGACTCTCCTGTTAAAGGACATGCTGGTAAACGTTGTCTAAGTAATGTCTCGGATGCCTGGATTTAACCAGATTATTTGGGAGAGTCTTTCAGAAGAAAATTTTATAGAATTATTTGCTACCATATATGTTGTAAAATTTATTTGTTTTAGGTCCATGTCCATTAACAAAATTAAAATATTATTCTTTTGGTGAATCAATACCCTTTGGTTCATTGCATACATTATATTTAGGTGTATTTAAAAAATTTTGTTTGTTGACTTTTTCCAAATCCAAAACTGGTCGTCGACAAAAATGGTCGCTTTATAATAAAATAAATAGTATTGATCAAGGGTGATCTTCTGTTAAAATTCCAACTACTACAAGTCGAAGATTTCGAACAATAAAACATATTGCACGTTTCAAGGCGAACGAATTCAGATCTTTAATGCATCACGATTCAACAGTATTGATACAAGCAATATTACCAAAACATCGTCGACATTTTGCATTGTTATTAGGTGCCGTTAACATTCCGTCTAAAGATGTTATTGACAATTATGATATAATATTAGTCAAAGGATTACTACATCAATATGTAAAAGATTGGCAAAAGATATTTGACCTTCGTCATATGTCATCCAATATACATTCACTTTTACATATTCATGAATCAATACAATATCTACGTCCTTTATATATGTATAGTACTTTTAATTTTGAAGGTTAGTTTGCAGACTACGCGTTGTTATTATATATAATTCTCTATCATGCATATTATCTCATAATAATGAGAACAAAAGTATAGAGAAATGTTGATAGAGATTATTTCATTTTTTTTGCTCGAACGATAAATATTTTGTTAAATTGAAGGAAAACAAATCATCATCAATTATTAGCTGATGCAATTATAATTACATTTTGACATCAGTAATAAAAGTAATACAACGAGTTTGGTCGCTTTAAATTCATTTAAGGTGGTTTCACTCGTTTGTAGCGATTTGAAAAAGAGTCATGTTTTTAGAATATCATGAGTTATCAAAATTCAATGTTAAATGAGCTATAACTACCTGATCATTTATTTCTCACTATTCTTTCATTTTCTACGCATTATACAAAAATTGCTAACAATTCAACAGTTTTTATCGTCGGTTTAAAAAGAATTTCTCAGGCTGTATTTATTCTTAATTACTATTTCAGGTATTGGTCATGACCTGGTGTGCATGATCCATGGTATGACACACTATGGACCACAATTAATTTCAAATTTACAAAATTATCGACAAGCTATAATTGATGTATGCAAACGTGATTATCCAGAAAAACTATTTTATTTTAATGAAAGTATTCTTAGTCGCAAATTAGTATCAAAATAAGGAATACACGTGGGAAAACAAGTGTCTTTTACAAATTATGTTGATGAGATGAAGCATTTGAACTTAACTACAAAAAGAAAATTCTTGTATCATGATGAATTAGTCATTAAACATATCAAATATAAAACTTTATCATCCACAATATCTCGTAAATTCGCCGATTTTTGTGTTTCATTTATATTTGGACGACAAACTAAATTAGGACTTATTAGAGCAATTGTAACCGATCCAAATGATAGTGGAAAAATATTTATTGTATTGGAAGATCTTACTGATGAACTCGCAAGACATCATTTATTACAATTTAAAACGAATAATACAACATTCTCAACAATTCCAAATATTTACATTCGAAAACGTTCTTCGTGTCTTGTTCTTAGATCGTCATCGCATATTTTGCATAAACATTCGTACAGATTTCTTAATGATGAAGAAACTATTGAAATAATCGAATATTCAAATCTTAAAGAGAGCAGTTGAGTGAGATTTGTCGTATTTTTTTCTAACATGTTTTCGATTTTTTTTCAACTGTAATTGATAACAAAGTACTTTATATTTGTTCATAAAAATTCCAGTTCATACAGGAGACTTATAACAACTCGGATTATTTTGTCAACTATTAATGGTAACGAATTTCTCTCAATTTTTTTCGAAAAAATTAGCCAAGATTATACATTAATTTTTTTTCATTAATCGTATCAGTCTCCTATTTTTTTTTCGAAAAACAAATTATTCAATATTATATATTAAAAAGAATTTTTTTCTTTCAAAGTAGTCAAGATTATATATTGAATATTTTCTTTATTAATAGTAGCAATTTCCTCTCATTTTTTTTTGAAAAAACAATTAGTTCAGATCATACACGAAAAAATTTTATCAGCGTTTTATATATTTCATGATGGAACACAAATTTATTCAGGCTGAGAATGTCATATTTAGATCATCTGGTTCATGCAAGCTTCGTAATCGTAAGTACATATGTTCGAATCTACTGGTCTGCATTTATTTCCGATAGATCCCGAGGGCTCTGATATTCGTAAGTATATATGTTCGAGCATACTGTTCTGCAATTATATACGATCAGTGTCGACTGCTCGAAAATAAGTGGTGGTAAAAACTTTTGAAAATTATCAAAAATTCGAGTGGTCGAAATTTCGATTGCTTGGAACCTTGTAAAACATCGACCACTCGATATTTTGCAACTTTCGTTTCACTTAGAACCCATCGAGAAAGGTCGTTCGTTGGGTATTGGAATAGTCCATCGAAACCAATAGGAGCAAACACAAAAAAGGGGTCGAAAATCATAAATAGCGTGGTCATCAAGTACCGATCGGAATTGACATTTCGATCCCTCGAAATGGAAGATTATAAACTGCAAAATACTTGGAAAAGCAACCCATCGCAGATCCCTCGACCCATCGGAGAATGGCAATCCCAGGTGTCGATTTGGAATTCCGATGCCCATCGAAAGCTTAAATGGACGCGTCGAAAAGCCTATCGAATGGTTGGTTGGATTTATTTTCAATATGGGTCTAATAAGCTTATTTACTTATTTTTGTTCTTGCACGTGACGAAACCAGAAAATGTGTTCTCGAAAAATGTCAATACGCCAACATTTAAGGATAACTTGTGAAAAGCTCAAATAATAAAATCTTAAAATATACAATACTATTAAGAACTTTTTTGTCAAATGTTTAATATCGATTAAAGTAAATTTATTGTCTGAACTTTTAACTGATGATATTTTACACGAATATAAACATTGAATGAATTAGTTCTTACAAGGTAATATCTTCAACTGGCAGACACTCTTTGATCAGATATTATGGATATGAGTAGATCTGTCTAAGAACTAAAAAATGCCTAAAAGAATTTATTAGTTAGAGCAAAGCATTTCCGATAATATCAAAAATGAAGAGTTTTGACATGAAACTTTTTCTTCTACTTTGATCAAATAATCATTAGAAAATTCCGAAAATTTCATAAGAAACGATCATATCGTTCTTGAGATATTCAATTTTCTAAAAAAGAATAGCTACTTACAACGGAAGAACACAATAGTCCAATCTATTTTAAAGTTGAATCACTCAGGAAGAACAAGTTCGTTTTCTGCAAAACTTTCAGAACTTTCTAATAATTATTTGATAAATCTAGAGGAAAAATTTCAAGTCAAAATTCTTCATTATGGTATTACCGAAAATGTCTTATTATAGCTAACAAATCTACTAAGACGATCGTAACTTTTTACCAGTAGATGATGAGTCCGAAACAAGTGAGAAAAAAACAAACAAGACTTCGATACTCCGAATCCATTTTTTGGCTTTTCTTAGTCTCACAGAGACCTAATCATGGCCATAATATCAAATCGAATGAAGTCTGACAGTTGGAAATACTTCCTTGTTAGATTTAAAAATTTTGAAATCAAATTTATTTATTATTAATAAATCAGATGATAGAAAAAAGTTTAACAACAACGTATTTTCGATTGTTTTTCTATAATGTTAAGCATCTACCTCAAATTCTAATAGTGCTTTTTAATAGCCAATGAAGTTTTCTATTTAATTTATTCTATATGAAAATTTCATAGATGAACTATAATGACCGAGCTTTTTAAAAAAACTGGACACAATAGTTTGAAGGTCGTAGAAGATTGTGTAAGTGCTAGTTTTTAACAATGTCATTTTAAAGAACATAAATTCTGAACAAAATAAAGAATCGCCGCGTTTTTCACCATCTTCTCTTAAAAACTTAAAAATATCACAACTGAAAAAAAAAGCGTCGTTTTAGTTAGAATTTAGTGTTCTTTAAAATGGCAATGTTAGAAAATAGTTCCGGCAAAGTCTTCTGTGGTTAGAAAATTACCGTATTCCATGTTTGAGAAACTTTGTCATGATAAGTTCATCTTTGAAATCTTAGTATAGAATGCATTATATAGAAAACTTGATTGATTATTATAATCATCAAATAGATTGTTGTTAAACTTTTTTTTTCCATCATCTTATTATAAACATTATATTTCAATTTTAAAATTTTTCCTTTGATCAGTTTTTTGACGAAGTTTCATTTTGCCTTGTTCAGTTAAATTACAGTTGTTAATCCAAATTCTTTTTAATGTTCGATTATGTTCAAACATTTCAATAAGATAATTAATAGATGAATCTGTTATAAATATATTCATTGAAATAGATAAAACTTTCAATGTTTTATTATGATAAGCTAATACATAAGCTAATTCTTTAATACCTTCATCACCAATTTCATTATTTGATAACCATAATTCTTTTAATGTATGATTTGTTTTAAGCATTTCAGATAAATATTTAAGTCCTTTATTTGAAATATTATTTTTACTAAGATAAAGAATTTGTAGAGATGAATTTTGATTTGATAAAAGTGCTTGACTTAATGAATATACACCATTATCACAGATTTGATTAAAAGATAAATCAAGACTTTTTAATTTTGAATTATTTATTAAACTTGATGCTAATATTGATGCACCATGGGATGTTATTTTATTTCCATGTAACCAAAGGTCTGTACATTTTCTATTATTAATAATTTCATTAACAACAATTGACATATCAGCATCAGTTAAATGACAATAAGATAAATCAACATGTAGTTTTGGTTCCAATTGACTAATTTTTTCTTGAAGTTTTGGATTAAAATAAATTTCAGATTTGAAAGTTTGATTATTGGTATCTTTTGATAATGTTGAAGTAATAGGATGTAAACGAAATGATATTGATTTTGAATGTTGAAATGTTGATTCAACATCATTTAATGCAAAAGCAATATTAATATTGGCATGTAATTGTATTTTTTTTATAGAAGAATTTTCTTGAAGTTTTTTATTTGATATAAAAATTTCAGAAGAATTTTTTTGATTGATAACATTGGTCTTGTTTGACATCATTTTATCACTTATAAATAATAGAAATGAGAAAAAAAAAAGACTTCATAAAATTTTTTTATAAATTAGAAATCAAAGATTTGTTTTTCTATTCTGATTAGAATACAGTTTCGAAGAATCTACGAGAAATTAAAAAGGATTCATGTATATGAGCTTCTTTCTAAATTAATATAGAATTTTAGTATATTGCAAGAGATTCTGACAAAAACAAAATCGATGCTTTCATCTTGAGATGTTTACTGTGAAAATAAATTCGATTTTTACATTCTCTTGAAATTTTACTGATCAATATTTCTTTTAGTAAGCTACAAATTTGTAATGTGTAAGGATGTTGAGCTCAGAATGAAGTAGTATGAGTACGAACTACTTAATATTTTCCTATTCTCATTAAAATCTATTTCTCTCAAGTACTATAAAATTCTAAACCACAAAGAAGTTTCAAATAGAAAAAATAATAAAGATTTCTCATGTAGTATTTATTCATTCAAAAAATATGGAAGTTTTTGAAAATGTATTATTGTATATTACCATCTGACCTACATTAAATATTTATATTACTGAAGCAACCATATAAGCCTATCTACACATTTTCTATAGCATATAGTGATAACGATTCTAAAAATTCTGATTTTACATACAATACATTCAATTTGAATGAAGCCAAAGTGATACAATTGATTCCTTTAACATATAGTTCTATATATTAGGTTAACATTATTCTCACATAAAATTAACAGAAAAGAAAAAAATGATTTTTCTAATAAATCAATAAATAAAAATAAAAATATTGAATATTATTGACTGAGGTATAATATACTGCTTTATTGTTTGTTTCTAATTAAAACAATCTCAAAGTTTGTTATTACTTTTTTATTTACCTGTATTTCACGTGTATATAGAAAACCACATAAGCAAAATATAATGAGTATTCGAATTAATTTTTGATGTCTATCATTTTTCTTTCTACGACATAAAAATCAACGAATGAAAAAAAGAACCAATAAGCTGTACATTCTCCTACTCGATATATTTTTCTCTATATGCACTATGACTGCTACCTGAAGGATGCTTTCGTTATTTTATATCGAATGATAAAGAAAAAAAAAACGTATTTGCATTGATTTTTACGATCATTATAACTTGTAGATAAGATATTAGTTATCCAAATTTTTGATCAAAATATTCGGGGTATCGAGTTAATTTTATGAAATGAATATAAGAAAAAAAACATACTATAATAAATGCTGAAAAATTTTTTAATAATATTGTTTCTTATGTATCTTAGCGAACGAGCATTTTATAATGTTATGTTTTGTAATGGTAGTCCATAATGTTGTCTCTTAGAGATGGGCTTCGTTCGTGTTTGATTGATTTTTTTTTCTGGAATCGAAAGAACATAAATGACATCATGGATGTATTGTAATGAAGCAGTCAGTTTTGTTCTTTGGCTATGAGATTTTTTTAAAAAGTTTTAAAATTTATCTTTGAATTAATTTAATGGAAAATATGTTGTTCTAAAACTCGTAGTTTTTAGTTTCAAATCAATGTCTTATTTGTAGAAAGTCAACTAATTAATAGTTTCTTTATTGTTCAAGTGTGATCTCAGTTTTTTATTCAGAAAGATCATTTCGTTCATTGAAAATTGTATCTTAAGCTAGCCACAGAGTTGCGAACATGATATATGTGTGCAGCGAGGGCGCCACCTGCCCCTAAAAAACATGAGGAACGCTAGTGTTCTGACTTCATCACAATCTTAAACGGGTTAAACTAGTTATAAAACGATTTTATTTCTTTTATCGAAACGTAAATGGCACTATTTAGAGTCATTTTCGCCAAAAAACAATGACTATTATGAGGTTCGTATTGTCATGGTATATTGTCTTATTTACTAAATTTATCTACTTCAATTAGATTTAATGTACCCTATTATGAATATACTTTCTATTATTATGAATGTTTCATGTCATAAATTGAATTCATACATAAAGATTGACATGCACAAACCATATTCATTGTATATATGTATGACAAAACAAGGACACACAAAGATAATAGTTAATAGTTATATGTCACAAAAGACAAATGAAAGATTCTATGAGACAAACAAGTTGCCAAATAAAATTACATAAAGTTCTAGAAGAATATCTTTCTGAATCAGAAAATTATCATAACCGTTTTTCAACGATGTCGTCTATCATCGTATTTCTTTGCTTTATGATGCATTTTAAGCGATCCTGTTTACACGAGCTGTTCTAGACGATATGCGTGCAAAATTTTATCAAATTATATTGGTTGATATTCATCGAGTGTGATAGTATATATCAAGTATTTTAGATATCGATACAGACAATTGACTCCTTTATTTTTCTATGAAAAATTTAAGGTTTTTATTCCGATAATTTCATAGCAATCGGTATGTTATTTAAATACATCGATCTTTATAAGTATATTACAGAGAATTATTCTCTTCACGTTATATATTATTGTTGAAGTGTTCATATTATCATCATATCAGAAGTTGAAATTGATTCTAACGAATTTTTTTAACTGATTAATTTAAACAGTTAAATCATCTTTATAAAACTAAATTGTCTAATATCAAGGAAATTCTTGGAGAAATTATACTTTCTATGATATGTTCTTTTTTCAACTAATAATTAAGTTTATTTGCTACATATTTCTTCGGAATTTTGGAAATGTGTATAAAAAAAATATAGAACTTTAAAAAGATGTTTTGACATAACTGATATTTTAGCATCATTTATATACAATATTGTCACGTTCTATATCATTTTTGTTTATCATAACGAAGCATTTGGGGAGTTTTGAACGGTCTGAATTGTATGTGAACAAGCAATTTTTCGTTGGAAAATATTTTCTATCAAGTTAGTACAATCCAATTTAAAAACAATGTCTAAACGCGTCAAAAAATTCAATACAAAAAATGAGTTGATTCAATTAAATAAAAATATTATTTTTTTTTAGTTTTATCAAACGAATTGTAGTGTTAATGCTCTATCTTTTTCTGATACATCAGCCTTGACTTAGCTCAAATTTAATTAAAATATTTCTTTCAATATTACCGATAAGAAAACTATTATTATTAAAAAAAAAACATTCGATTTTAATGCCTGTTAATTGAATAATGAAACTGAACATCATGTCGCTTTGTTTTTAGTTTCTTGAAAAACGGTTTTTCACTGCTGTAATTTAACATGATTTTCAAGATGTATTTTCAACTAAGAGGTCAGTCTGAGGAACACATTAACCACTGGATGAAAAAAATGTGTATGAAAAACATCACTAACTATATTTGAAAGGAAATTTTGTTTGATGTTATGGTATAACATTAATGATAGACATAGAATTAGTTTCTATTTTTTTTCAAACCGAATTGCATATGAAAATGATTCTTTAACATTACAGAATTCTTTTACGAAGATGAATAAGACAATAAAGAAAAGTGTTAACATAAATGATTGTCTTGTTTATGTTGGTTTTTTGATAAATGAATTATACTCTCATTTTGTAAAACACGATCTGAAAAGAGTGTTGAAATATATAGAGTAGACATTGGAATGCACCTCCCCACCTACAAACCGTGACAGATGCTCGCCGGAGACCATCATAGACCGTATATCAATAATGGCTCGTTACATCTTGTGAACTACTTCATTATTGCATTTTTGGAAGATTAAATAAAAGGACTGTGAAGCAGAGGTGCAGAATCTGCCGTGATTTCGAAAAATTTCCCCCAGCAATTTCCCCAAATCGGCCCTAGAAATCGAAATTTTTTGTTCCAGAGGCGCTGGCGCAGTCGGGTATATTCTGCACCTCTGCTGTGAAGAAATGTATTCCAAGGTATACAGAATAATCTTCCTGTGATTAGCGGCAGCAGCTACATCGTGTTTCAAATTTTAATCCTGCAAGAATGGCGCTAATAGCTTATTCATGACTATGCTTTTATCTACTTATATCATTTATCTATTTCCATTACGAATGCAATTGAATTGAATTCAATAATAGTTAGTGAATGTAGTGAATTCAAGGTATCTGTGTACTGTGTCAGTTGTCAGCAGAATACCTTATAAACCAGGTACTCGCCTGGATATCTGTCCAATTTCTATTACATTCTATGAATAATTTTGCACTGAGTTAGTAGATTGTATATTTAAAAGCATTTTGTAGTCAAATGCTAAAAATTCATAAAGTATCTTAAGGTAGTGACGTATCCAAAGGTTTCCGTGACACATCGGTATCAGGCTATGCTTGCATGTACCTTGAGCTCAATACATTTGCTAGGATCTGCTAAAAGTTAATGTAATCAGCATAATTTATCTGTAACTATCATAAATGAAGATTAAAAATCAATAATTATTCTTTTCACAAATACCAAAATCAGTTGATTAATAATCAATAAAGGATCATAGTGTTACTTTTTGTTTTCCAAAACATTTGAAAAAACTTCATTAAACTTTTTTACTGTACAATTATTATTATTATTTTGCAAAAAAAATTGCAATTTTAACACTTCTATAGGTTTAGTCATATTAGATATGAAAATAGAAAAATTAATAATATAAATTACAAGAAAAAAAGAGAACAAAACAACGACACATACAACAAAATATTGTGGAAGATTAATGTATTGTGAGTTTAAAATTTTTCTTTGTTTGTGAAATCATATTTAGTCTTCTAATATCAGATCCAGATAAATCATGTCCATTTATGTCAACTTGTCTTAATGTTTGATTTTTTTCAATCATTTCAATAAGTATATCAACTTTTTCACTTGCAAATTTATTCCATTCGAGAGAAAGTACTTCAAGTACATTATTATTTATAAGTTCTCTAGCTAAACATTCTATACCTCGATCATTTATATAATTATTTGTTAACCATAAATGAGTTAATGATTTATTTCTTTTTAACATTATTGCTAAATGTTTAACACTATCATCTGTAATACCATTATCATTCAGACAAAGTCGTTTTAAATATGAATTAGTTTCATTTGAAAGATATTTTGCAAGAATTTCAGCACCAATATTACCAATTTGAATACCATTTAAATATAATTCTTCTAATGTATGATTATTTTCTAAAGATTTACCAATGATTATTGCACCTAGTGATGTTATCTCACGTCCTCTTAAAGAAAGTACACGACATTGTTTATTTACAATCACTTCTTGAACAATAGTTTCTAAATCATTATCGGTAAAACGTTTTCGAAATAAACATGCAAGTGAATGATCGTTAAATCGAGCTATTTCTTTATCAAGTGTTGAATTAAAATTTGGTTTAAATTTTGTTATTAATGTTCGCATATTATGCAATAACGAAGAAGTTTCTAATGTTTGAATATTTGTTTTCGTTGATACCGATTCTAAAAGTTGATATGGTGATTTAATTTCTTTCAGATGAATTGTATATAAATTATTCTTTTTATAGGAACATCGAACAACTTCAAATGCAGTTCCAGGTAAAAGTAATATTTCATTTTCTTGTTGAAAAAATGAATATTTACTAATATCTTTTCCTCGTAAACAATCAATAATAAAAAGGATTCGTTTACCATTTTCACATAGAAAAAATTCATTTACTGAAACATTTTTATTTATTGAACATGATGAAAAACCCCACCAAACAAAATTATTTCCTTGTTGATATTGATCAGAATTGGGTAATACAACTCCACGATAAACAGTAAGACTAATCGTTGGAAGACGTGATAATGCAGTAAGAATAAGTTTAAGATATAAAAACCATGGTTTTAAACTAGCTCGATCTTCATTACGTAATGTTGAATTAAGAATATAATAAAGCGAATTTGTATATGGATCCCATTCCATTGTATATAATGTAATTGCAGCTGATTCATCAATTGAAAGATCATTGTCATGATAATTCGCTGCATGATCTTTAGCTTGATCAACTTTCATTTGAATATCAGAAATAATTGGAATAAGTGGTTCGACAGCTTGTTCAAGTGGAACTAAAGGTTTTGTATCAAATCCTTCAATAGGCATTAACATAATACATGGTTCTCTAGCAGCATCATAAAAACGATATTTTGCATCTATTTTATTATTAATATCTTCCATTGATATAATTTTCTATCAAATAGTGGTAGTATTCAATGAAAAAACCTATCGATTTATTTATAACAAAAAAGACGAACCTACCAATTATTTATTACTCATTTATTGTACATATCATCAAATTAATGAAAAAATAAAGAAGTACAATTTTTCCTTTCGTTCTTTTTTCTGGCGAAAGGAATAGACACGTAAAGTTAACAAATTACACTACGCGAAATATTCCCTACGTCATGTTAATAACAACATATATTCATGGTAATTAACGGGTAATGTTTGGGTGGACATCGAAAAATATAGTATTGATAATGAGGGTAATTACCTACATATTACACAGAAAAAAACAACATTCATATATAAACTAAAAATGAATAATACTAGGTTGGAAATAATATTTTTCCCAGGAAGTATTGCTATAATTTCAGATACAGTAAATAATAAATTTTATATCAAATGAAAGCTCGTCGAAAATGAGGTTTATTAGTACTAAACAATAAGGATTATAAAAACTTTCGTATGTTGTATTCTTGAAATTTCTAATATTCTATCAACCACAGACATGAGAAAAATAATTTACGAGATCAAGTTCGAACTACAAATGATGCGAAATTCTTTATTCTTTCATTGTTTCATGAATACAATCAATATGACGACCGTTAATATTCTTTACTGTACGAAGTCGAGATAGAAATACAAACATAGAAGAGTTTCAAATAACTTAGTATCCGTTTTCATGTTTGTCAAAACATCTGAAATGTGAGTTTTAAGTGTGTCTTCAAGATAACGATTATGTCTACACACTAAGTTAAAATGTGTCGCACGACACATTTCGTACAACAGATGCGGTACATTTTTTATTGATTCTTCTGAAAATGCATACTATAAATTTTTTCAATTTAATTCCATTATAATTATTTCTGTTTTGAAAACTCAAGCAGGTTACATTTTGAGATCTTTCCAACCTTGAGTTGGTCCGATCCCTGTCAGACCGATTCAGGGTAGTCCTCTCTCGAATATTGATTGAAAATGGCATTTTCTCGACTAATAAATTATCGAGAAATAATCTAAAAAAAATTATTGTGGAAATATTTATCTTTCTTACATTCAACCGTGTTGCTTATATATGGCTGTGCGTGCATAACAAAAATGGTGAATGAATAGTGAATAAACAGAACGCGACAAATTTGTATACAACACATTCTAAGCACGACACAATAGCTCACGACGTATAAATGTGACACATTTTATGTTAGAATGTAGGTTCTGATAACATCTTTTTTAACTTCATCTTTGATTATTGTTTCAATATGTTCTGCCGCATTGAGATCGAACAAAATTCCAGGCCAGATGTTATTACTCCAAAACTTAATGTTGATATTTTGAAGCGAATGCTGGGTCTTATTTGCTTGCATACACGATGCTTTATCATGAACATATATGGCTTCATAAAGATCAATAACGTTTTCTTCATTTTTTAAGAAAAGAAATACGTTTTGAGTCAAAATTATATCATGAAAGTATTGATCTGTCTACGATTTACCTTTATCTTTGATCACCCAATGTAACCTTTTGGTAGTAAACAGAAGAAAAATCCAAATACACGCTTGATTTTGAACCATTTCATGATATCTTTCATGTTCTTTGATATCTTCAATACTTCTTTCTTGAATTCGGTCATTCTGATAATTTAGTCTGCGGACAACTCAGACATAAAATTCATCAGAGAGTGCGAGATGAAGAAAGTCTTTTTCGGTCCAATCTTTTAACCAATCGCACAGTCATAATCGATCTAATATATGAATTTCCGATTTTAACGATTTTGGAATAATATGAAACAACTTTAATCCTTTTCTATGATGATAATTATGGATTGTTCTTGTAACAACGTACTCGTTTTGTGTTTCTGCAATTTCTTTCGCCACAACAGAACAACTTTTTCCTTGTCAACCCTCTCTTTTAGAAAGATGGCTTGACTTGCTTGTGATAATTTGAGCTTAGAACTAGCATTTGAATAATCAATAAAACATTGATCATATGAGTTTTTCTCCCACCATTCTGTAACAAATCAAGTCATGCAGTGAACTTTCTCTGCAACTCCATTGTCTATTTATAAATGTTACATCAACATCGCGAGCTTCACGAAAAACGATGTATTTAATTCTGTCAATAATTTTCTGCTGCTGAGTATCATAAGTGTGAGTCATTCTTAAGTAATCGGACTTAATTAATTCACCAAAAGGATAGATTCTTTGTTTTATCAAAAATATATTGATCAGAAAATGACTTTATATATTGTTCCACAAACTGGTTTGATTTTCCTGTTTTAGTACTTTCTAACACGAGGGAAATGAAGGAGTTTTTTTCACTAACTACTGCCATGAAGAACAGACAACAGAACACAAAAGAACAATGGTATCTTCTGAATGAGAATACGTCTTATGATCATTAGAACAATGTTCTTTTCACTTTTTCCAAAGAGATTCTCTTTTTTTTGCTTCGTAACTCACTAAAAGCAGGTTATAACGACTGCATTTTACAAAATTCTATAAACCTCGAGAGTACAATATGCGAAAGTTTTCATAATCCTTATTAATTAATACTAATAAACCTTATTTTCGACGAACTTTCATTTGATATAAAATTTATTATTTACTCTATTCGAAATTATAGTGGTACTCCCTGGAACCATATTATTTCCAACCTAGCCTGGTATGATTGATTTGAGGGCAAACAGAAGGCCACATATAACTAAAATTTGGAGGTAACATTTATGAAAAATGTGCTTATGACAAAAGAAAGACATTAATATCGTGACAATTCGATAAGTTTTTTGCGTAAATATTCTGTGTATTTTTCCAAATGAAGTGAAGCAAAATTGATAGCACTTTCCAACTGTACATATGAGTCTGTTGCTCATTAAAATGATTGTATTGAAGTCAATAAATATAATTGTTTACTTCTCGAGTTGGGGGATTCGATGAAGAGAATTAAAAAGATTGAAATAATCGGCAATCATCAGAACATAAAAAAACAAATCTATGGTAATCATTTTAATGCTCGAAAACAATATACTGTAACATAATTATAAAGAATAATATTTTATCAAGTTTAGAGCCGTCTTTTATATTTAAAAATAATGTTTTCATATTTATTTACTAGGCTATCTTACTTTTCAGAATATCTCACTTTAAATCGACATCTTAAAACGATTACGTGAACGATTGTCTTTTTCTTGAATAAACCTAAATTATAATTTCCATAAGAAAATATTTAAATATCTTTCTAAAAATACAAACAACATAATACAATATACTCGATTAGAAATGTTTGATTAAACATTTATGGTTGAATAATAGCTGTCTTCTTTTAGAATTCAATACTCAAAAAGTTTAAAATGTTACTTCACTTGTTCATACTAACATACTTAATACTCTGTTTAATAAAAAAAAGCAAATACATACTATGTTTTCTTAGTAAAAACGAAAACGAAAACTCATTTTAAAAGAAAGAAATTACTTGGTAGTTTTATACTTAACTAAAACGAATGCTGTCAATATTTAGTTTTGCCTGTAGAATATACAATAACACATGATGCTAGATGGTGTTGCAATTTTCTCTATTGGTTCAGACTACTAACTAATGATTATGTTTTATATTAAATTTTTCATTTTTCATAAACAGTCATCAAACTCGTAAAACTGGACGAAAGACCACTAATGTGGTCGGTAATGGTTAGAGGTGTAAGCTGATGCATTGATGAATGATAGCGGCTGAACTTGGCATAATTTTATTCCTTTGTCAGCGATGGCTTGTGCATGCTCACTATAATTATGCAGCGCGATTTTGACAAATATCTGACATTTTTCTAAGAGTTTAAACATATTCATAATGTAAGATATAAAAACAAAGTTCAGATAGAAGAACTGCGATTATCATGACATGAATAGTATATTCCTAAAATATTATATTGAATTTTGAAAAAATACTATTCATAGTGAATTCCTCTTTGTTCTTTATAATTATTTAATGGAAGGCTTCAGTTGAATTAAATACACTCATATTAACATATTAGTTTGTTTTGACGGTATGAAAGACAATGATACGTACTTCAGCCAAAAAATTGTTAATGAAAATACAATGAACACTAATGAATTGCGTTTGGAAATGGAAAACGATCAAAAATATATGCGAAAGGATTTGTAGCTGTCTTAAAGTCATTTTTTCCACTAATTTGCTTTTATTCATAGTCAATTTAATCATTTAACATACTTGCAATACTAAAGACATTCTCTGATTATAACTAATACTTTAAAACACGACATCATTAGATTTATTCAAATCAATTATTGACACCGTATTTTAGTAGAATATTTAGTGTTTCAGATCGGAAGCAGTCGGTTGTCATAATGATATTTCTGTCAGTGGTACACTTTCTGAACAAAACATATAGATATTATGCATCATGTGAATAACAATACTATAGTCGAACTCAGTTGCACTTCCTTTCAGATTGCTTTTTCTTCTAAATTGTTTTATGACGTCTAAGAATTTAGTTGGTAAACCATGTAATTTTTGTAATCGACAATTATTTTCGCAGCTGTAACTTTTATTCCAAGAAAGATATCATACAAATGGTATTTTTTTTCCAATCAAGTCAATTCACGATCATTTTTTGTTCTCCTTCTTTCAGCGATTTTAGGTAGGAAGCATATATGTAATGTCAATAATCTATTATTGAATAGCACATGAAGAAAAAAAAACACCTGCATTGTATGTTACTCTTGTTCTTTCACAACTCCATTATAGGTGTGTGCCATATAAAAGGGTGGAGCAAACGAAATACACATGTTGTTACATGCAAAGAAAGAAAAGGTAAGATCACATGCTATAATACGTGTTGGCTTAACGACAATCATTTGTTTTTAATATATGAAGTTACTAAAAACTAAATAGAAAAAACACACTGATCTATATTTGATTTTATGATTAAGATTCAACAAAATTGATATTCTAGATCCTATTATGCGAGATAGTCTTGCATTCTAATAAAAGAAAAATTATATTTTGTTATTTATATATTTCTGACAATAAGCATGAAACATTTTACAATCAAGATCATATAATTTAATATTCCACATTAACATCTGTTTATCCTAATGAATTTCTACCTTCGATTTCATAGAGAACTTCATATTATATGATGATCAACAGTAAATAAATCTCTGTATTCTATTATAGAACTACTTATATCTAATGAAAATTATTTTCATTTTTCAATATTGTTTGAGCATAAGTAGCAAAACATAATTATCTCAATCGTTAAAGGAAAAATTAATAATTGAGAGAGAGAGAGAGAGTTTATGAGAAAAGCAAATATTTTGAAAGTCTATAAATATTTAAACATCTATGTATATAAGTAAGTTAATTTTATATGTCGTCAATAATTTATATCGATATAAAATATATTAGTATCTCAAAATGTAAAATTCTCACAGTAAAATTAAGAAGTCGACTACATTCGTTTTTGTTAATTTTCGGTACTTTCAAAAATCTTTTATCCGTTGCTCATATTTGACATACGTAATATACATAAAATATTCTCGAATAGAAATTCCAGAAATTTTAGGCTTTATTAAATGTATTATTTTTTTGCTCTTTATTGTGTTTTTAAAGGAAGCAAAAACAAAGAATCTAGTTATCGAGAATAGAAGTATGTTTTTTTTTCTTTTCTGTTTGTCAAATGGTGAGAGTGCAGCTTGTCTTTAGTCATTGTACAATTCTCTGCATACCTTCAGTCATTGCGGAATATATTTGAAAATCATTGAAACTATTGATACATTTCTATCATATATACAGTAAAATATCATCATGATCGTTTTCATGATTAAAAATTTGTTCATCGTTCAAATATTGTATGAATATATCTATATGAATTCATAATCAAATAATTAAATTTATAAAAATTCGAATAGTTGCCAGACAAACATCACATGTAGACTTTAATACAAATAAACAAACAATAGAAAGAATATTTACAATAATACTATTTTTATTCATTGACAGATTGATTTTTTTCAAACAATCAAATAATGGCATTATATACAACAATCAATACTAGTTTAAATGAAAATTCTACTCAAGATTATCCTTATCAATATTTAGATAAAACTCGTAATATGCATCTTATGACCCTAAAAAATGTCCTTAATATTGATATTATCAATCATATTCAATTAGATGAAAGATTAGCTAGAAATTTAATTGCTAAAGGTATTATTCTATTGGCAAATACTGCTACAACATATATTCGACCGAATAGTTTATTTATTCGACAATTTGATAGAAAAGTTCAATTTGAACAATCAAAAAAAGCTATTCAAAATGACTTATGTTCTCAATTTATTAGCAATAAATCAAATATTATATCTGTTAGTAATGAAGATTATAAACGATATTATTCAACAAAAACACCTTATGAATATCCTTCAGAAAATTATATTTTAAGTCCACCACCAACTGGTTATAAACCTATTTGTGTACAACTTCTTGCTCGACATGGAAGTCGAACTTTAAGTAATCATGATTATGATTTAGAAACATTAACAATTTGGCAATTAGCTAAACAAAAAAATATGTTAACACCATTAGGTGAACAATTAAAAGAAGATATTGAATTATTTATGCATGCAAATAATCATTTGGGGTGAGTTTTAATTTTCTGCTGTTTTTTGTTTTGTTTTGAGTAATCATTTCGATTGATTTTCATCAGACGTGGAGAATTAACTCAAATAGGTAAAGAAGAACATTTTGGTATTGGAAATCGTTTATTTAATCGTTTAAAATCTTTATTTATTTCATCGAATAAAATTTCTGTTATGACAAGTGGTAAAAAACGTACAGTAGATAGTGCTCAAGAATTTCTTAATGGTTTAATAAAAGCTGAATTTAATAATATTCAAATATTAAATGAAATATCAAATAAAAATTTACTTTATTTTCATAAATCATGTACAAATTATATGACATTTATAAAAACTAATCCATATATAAAAATAAAATTAAATATAATTAAAAATTTAGAACAAACAAAAATATATGCAAGACAAGTTTTAAAAAGAATTTATAAAAATGAATTTGTCGAATTATTAATCAATGGAAATTATAATATTGATCCTATTGAAAAGAAAATTATCAAAAATGAAGTGGATATTGTTTTATGTCTCTATTGGATGTTTTCGGTTGCACCAGCTCAAAGTCAATTCAATTTAGCTAAAATGTTAGCAAAGTATTTTAATGAAGAAGAATCAAAATGGTTTGCTTATATCAATGATGCAAAGGTATGTGATTTTTTTTTTCAAATATCTAAAACTTATATAGAAAGTCACGATTTATGTTTATTCAATTGTTTTGTCTATTCATTTGGAATGATTTGTCATAAGAGTCATATAGAATATATATAGGTCAAATAAGTCTCTTTCTTTTTTTCATCATCTTAATGATCATATATCAAATTATTCTATTCATTAATAGGGATTCTACGAGAAAGGTCCATCTATCGAAGGAACTACAGTAACATATGATATGGCAAAACCACTTCTAACTGATTTTTTTTCGTCAGTTAGTCAATGTATTGAAACAAACAAAAATATTGCTGCATATCTTCGTTTTGCACATGCTGAAACAATTATTCCATTAGCAACACTTTTACAAATTCCAGGTTTTACGGACAAAGCAGTACATCCTTTAGATGTTTATACATATGAAAATAATCAATGGAGGGGTGATAAAATTGCTCCAATGGCTGCTAATATTCAATGGGAAATTTATCAACATGAAAATAATCATAATCAAATATTAGTACGAATGTTATATAATGAAATGGAAGTCAGATTTAAACAAGATTGTAAATCTTTGACACCTGATTCTTTTTTTTATGATTTTAATGAATTAAAACGGTCATATGCAGATCTTCTATTACCATCAGTCTCCGATGTGAATTGAATTCACGATAAGGAATCTTACTGGTACTTTTCTTCTTATATAAATTTCTGTACATATGTATATATATATATATGTAAATTTAGTTTTACCGTAGTTATGAACTATGTATTTCTTTCTTTCAGTTATTTTGTATCAGCATACGAATGTACTGTTCGTGATCTAGATCTTTTTTTTCTCTTTCATTAAAAACTAAGAACACTGGTTTTTCATTAGAAATTTATATTTTTATAATAAAATGAGTGCATTGAACTCATAAGAGTAACTCAAATAAATATTATGTTTTCTTCTTAGTTTAATTGAATAACAAAGAAATATATTTTGTAGAAATAAAAAAAAGATTGTCATAAATAATCGCTTGATAAATCTTGTCAATTGTAGACAACAAAATTATTGAATATATATGATTTCTTCCAATAAATAGATTAAGATTATTTAATTTGATTGAAAAATTGTTCATTTGAATATTATCAACAAAAAGAATTGATTCATTGAACAACAATGATTTGTATCGGGAATTATATTAAATAATAAAATTATACGTTATATATTTTATAATTATGTATGCTTCATAAGATCAGATATTTTTAATATGACTTAAGGGCTATGTATACATCAAGAGCGACAATTTCTTACTTGAATACACTCCACGGGTATGTCAAAGGTATCCTCCAGAACGTTTTTGATAGTTCAAGTCTACTATCCATGTGCGCCACGAGCATATTAGTTTGAATTCATTTTATACAAGTCTGGCAGGTAATAGAGTCTAACTATTGTATCATACTTCAAGAATTGAGTATCAGTGAAGTACGATGAAGAATTATTTGGGTTTTATTGTCAGATAGACTTGTATAAAATAAACTTAAACTAATATGCTCGTGACACAGATAGATAGTAGACTTGAACTATGAAAAACATTCTAGATGGTAGCGTTGACATACACTTGAAGTACGAAATAATCGCTTTTTTCTCCTTAGTATACATTCAATTGTGACAAATCGGAGAAAATCTTTGTCTGTTATAAGCCTTCATTATAGAATTTTAGTAGAATGATACTTCGTATTTATGCATAACAATATACTTCAATCTCAATGAGTCTATGACGAACTTAGAATTTATACTTACAATCTGTTGAATTTGATATAAAAATCACTGGATTTTTTAAAATTATTATAAGGAACTACGTAGGTTATAACATATTCTTATGTATGAGTCTTGACTGATAGTTTAATCTTTGTTATAAGCTTCAATAAAAAGTTCTATATACCATTCAAAATGTATCAATTTCTTCGGCATGTTTCATGTGCACAAAACATTAAATGCTACGAATCTATTTACGTAATGTCAATATTCTTTTGTGTTTGAAAAGCCATAGCTTTGAGTGAATTCGGTAGTTTAGTACAAAAGATTAAGTAGAAAATTAAGATCATGAAGTAGAATAATTCTAATCGAATTTTTTTTAAAATTAATTCAACCAAAACTATAATCTGTATAAGAAAATAATTTGTTTTTTTCATTTTCATAAATATTACTCAATTAAATTGTTTCGAAACATTAACTATTTACTTTTGTCAAATTTTATGATATAATGTGAATAGCATTTTTTTTTTTTGTTAAACTAACTGTCAGTAATATTAGATGATTTGTTTGATTCGTTATTATTCATCATGAAATATTGCCCTTCATGCGCTTTTACATTTGCGTTCGTTTTCTTTCTTTTTTTTTTGCTTATATATATAATCGATCAATTTTTTATCGATTTCTTAAGCACAACATGCAATAATAAGAGCAAATAAATGAAACGATAGTGAAAGAGTAATATAAATCAAAAGTTCTTTAGTACCTGGTGATTCATTTGATAAGAAATTATTCAAATGCAAATATTATTATGTACATTATTGATTTTTATTAGTCAATGTCAAGGATTTTTCAAAAATTCTTCACTTCAACTGAATACAACAACTAATCGTTATAATCTAACATGTATATCCAATTTCAATGATGGAGATTTATTTACCAATTGTGAATATTGCGTATATGAATTTTTTAGTAATGGTACTGATTCAACTATATATTATGATTGTATTTATTTAACAAATTCTTATCGTCGTGTAACACAACGTTGTACAGGTTTTAGTGATAGAAGTGATATTGGTTATGGTCTTTGTTCTAAATTACCATTTGAATATTTTGATATTGATTTACTTTGTATATGTGCAACAGATTTATGTAATGAAAATTTTACAACATGTAGACAATCTGTTGATGCAAATCCAAATCTACCGTCACTTTCTTCATCTATACCATTACTTACAAAAGAATCATCATCCATTACATGTCAAGATACTCCAGTTGGAATATTAAATTCAACATATTATTGTGTACGAGATTCAACACCTTATATAAATATGACACAATGTGAAGAATACGTTCAAAATCATACTGTACTTTGTATGTATTTAGAAAGTAATAATGGAAATTATTTAACATTAGTTGCATTACCTGACGAAGATTATGAATATGTATTAGTTGATCAAATACAATTTATACAAAAAATGGCCGTTCAATCTAATGTTAAACAATATTATAATGAAACACTAAATACATTTTATATACAATGGAAAGAAACACTTGAAGATAATAATTATACAATTATTTATAATAAATGTTATTGTATGACAAATGATTGTAATGTTAATTTAACTGCATGTCTTCAAGCCAAAACTCCAATCAATAAGTTTTATAGAAGTGAGAATAAATATTGAATATTCATCAAGAAATATGATAAAGTATTGTTTTCTTTTTTTTTGTTATAGATACAAGCAATATATTACTGATTTTTATTTTGACTGATTTCATCATGATGATGAATTTTTTAAAATTAACTTTGAATTATTGATAATGCGTTCATTTTCTTTTGAATAAAATGGAAGAGAAAAGCATAGAAATTTTTGTCATACGAAGGAACAAATGTCTTATTTTGAGATATTAGTAATTGATGATCTTCAATATGGCAATATTCTTGAGAGATGTGAAGGAAAAAACTAATTGAGTTCGTAAAATTTGGATGTTTCAGTTAGAATAAATGATCATTGAATGTTTAACTATCTGAGTTTTTCTGCTTGCAACAGAACGACAAATCCAACTTAATGACTGATCACGCGACTGTAGGTCGCCAAAGGAAGTCTTACATTATAATAAAGATATTAGTCAACGAAAACTGATTAATTCAAACTATTTCAAATGATTAGAACACTAATTACACCAGTGAAAGATGTGATATACATGTATGCTAAAAAAAAACGAGTGTATAACTCAGTTGATACTATTTTATTTAGTTGGTTGTTCACGATAGATACTTTTCAATGTTACAGTCGTTTTATTATTTTTCACTTTTTCTTGAATTGCCTTTTTCATTTGGATGGATCATACTTGCAAGGTATTGCATTCGAATCTTGTAATCACCGACCATGGAATATCCCAGAGCAAGTTATAAATGACTATTTCCTTTCCATTACCGATTCAATAGCATACTAACTACTTAGGGACATACATCGACTCTTGTGATTAGTCTAGAGATATGTATGGAACTTTCTGATCCTGGATGTAGGATCGAATATTTCTGAAGTAAAAATAAAGTGAAGAAATATTCAGCTGTTAAGTTTTAAAGAGAAATATTTTCTCTATAAAATAAGATTGTTTCAAAAACTATATTATTATTGGATTGAACATTTCGTGTCTCCTTTCTTAGACTACAAAAGCCACACAGAAATTGCAATAACTATCTAATTCTTCAACCAGGATCAGCAAACTCCACGATCGTTTTTGGATTAGCCAATGCTTTTGAGAAGTTCAAGCAAATAAACGAAAGATCTGCCGGTCAGACCGACCTTCTGTCCAAAGCTACAGCTAGTAATCGTTCTATTGGTTTTAGACATGGTAGAAGGAATGACTATGCATTAGGCTGATTGAAGACGACTGATCAAACAGATTGATATGGCCGAAAAATACTAAAAACCTAGACATAGTGGCCATCACTCAACCGACTCAACTTCTATTAGCCATTATACTATGTCTGCTGCTGGTGATTTGAACTGTGTCGAACGCTACATGAAATGTAGACAAGCACATATGGTCACCTGTTCCATCTGTATGAACATCATTCGAACATTTGACGACATTAAGCAGAAAATAAAAGTAATTTTTAATAAGAACATCTAAGCAGAAGTCAAATATGACTTTGAAAACGCGTCAGTACATACCATTGAATGATCTCGTCGTAACACACACACGCTGCGCAACAGACTTCGAAAAACCCATATAGAATGTGTAAGGACAGCAGTCATGTTGAGCGGTACTAAATCAATTCGAATAAGACGTATTTATATTTTTCCATGACGTCTACTGAGAAAAAAACGTAGCGTTTTGCACAAATAAGTAGGTTCAATAGGGAACATCCAACTGAATCAAACTATGGAATCGTTGCATAATATACCTGAACAGATTAACTAAGCTTAGATACAAACTTGAATTGATTAAAAACTCTTAAAAAAGACTTCGAGTTAGTTGCTTTGTACCACATTTTTGATACAAACTCTAGCAACAATATTATCCATCTTGACTGAAAGGATGAAAGTGTAGTTTTGATTCTACTTTGTCCTATCTTATATTCTACTATTTATACAATATTCTCTTTACAAAATAATAAGCATTAACAGCTTTTTATTCAACTATACAGAATACTAATAGCTCTTAGCCGTAGATACGTTACTAGCACTCAGCAAAGGTTTTTCTTGACTTTTAAAGGTCTACTTCTTGATAGCTACCTCATTTCAAGTAATTTTCAGATTGAAAAATTTGTCTAAAATCAGTACGACTATTTTTCTTAACAACACCTTTACTGTAAGTACTTTTTCGAAACTGAAGCAGCTTATTTGATAGACAAAGGTCTTTAAAAGCCTTTTTTTTCGGAAACTTTCAAATAAGGCTATTTCTAATCCAAA